TGGGGTCCCCTTAGCCCCAGGAGATGTTTCCCTCTCGCCGAGCCCATGGGGTCTGGGGTCCTTCTGTCGTCTCACATCTGTGTTTCCATGGTGCCCCTGGCTCTTCCTTGCAGCCCTGGGACAGCTGGGGACCCTACCCCACCCCCAAACCTGGTACTGTAATTCTACATTATCCTTGCAGACTATGGTTTCTTGGCTCAGTCCATGTTCTGGGGACCCATAGGACCCCCACTTAGCCTCTTAGCTCCATTCCAAGCAGCTCCTAGAGCCCCCGGGCAGAACTCTTGCACCGGGCCCCTTCAGCCCTTCTCTGCCCTCACTCTCCACCCCTGGCCCTGCAGACCAAGTTCGTGCAGTGCCCAGATGGAGAGCTCCAGAAACGCAAGGAGGTGGTGCACACGGTGTCCCTGCATGAGATCGACGTCATCAACTCACGCACCCAGGGCTTCCTGGCTCTCTTCTCAGGTGAGGCTGCCGTGCCGTGCCGGGCGTCTGCCTGCTCCTCCCTCTAGCTTGGTGTTCCCACCCCTGGGCCTTTTCTCTCCCTGATCTCTTGAGATAGGTTCCTCCCTCCTCTCAGGTGACAGTCGGGGTAGCGTCCTGCCTCTGTTCCTCTTCTCTGGGGCCTTTTCAGGTTCCCCAGCCCTCCTGTTGCTTTGCTCCCTGGTCTTAGTGTCTTTGCCTTTTCTCTGACCCTCGACTGCTGAATCCCGCAATGCCACCAACCCTGCAGGTGACACAGGGGAGATCAAGTCAGAGGTCCGGGAGCAGATCAATGCCAAGGTGGCTGAGTGGCGTGAAGAGGGCAAGGCGGAGATCATCCCTGGGGTGAGTGTCTGGAGTAGGTGGCTGGGGGAGGAGGAAGCAGGGGAGGGAGGGGCAGGGGTGAGTGTGGCATGTGTCCCAATGGCTCCCAGGTGCTCTTCATCGATGAGGTTCACATGCTGGACATCGAGAGCTTCTCCTTCCTCAACCGGGCCCTGGAGAGTGACATGGCGCCTGTCCTCATCATGGCTACCAACCGCGGCATCACACGGTGAGGGCCGGCGGGGGGAGGGGTGCTCGGGACAGCAGGGTGGGACGGACTCTCAGTACTGCAGGGGCTCTGGCAGGCGGGCAGGCAGCTGTGCCCCCAGCAAAGCTCCTTGTCCTCCATCATGTGGACTGCAGATCCCAAGCTGTGCTAAGACATTCTAGGCTGTGCAAGAATGCTCTTTTATTTATTTTTTGGTCGATTGTGGGCCTGAACTCTGGGCCTGGGCACTGCCCTTCAGCTCTTCAGCTTAAGGTTAGCCCTCTACCACTTGAGCCAAAGCACCACTTCCAGCTTTTTCTGCTTATGTGGTGCTGAAGAATCGAACCCAGAGCCTCATGCATGCAAGGCAAGCACTCTACCACTGAGCCACCTTTCCAGCCCTGCTCTTTTAATTTTGAGAGAAGCACAATAAGGTGTTCAGCATAATCATCAGATGGCCTAAAGATGCCGTGGAAAGATTCCTCAGACATAAAGGGTACTGTGTTTAGGTAAAGCATGGATTCCTCTGCCAGGTATGGTAGTTCACATCTGTAATCCAGCACTTAGGAAGCTGAGGCAGGAAGATTGAGAGCTAAAGGCAAAGGGGTAAAAATGTAGCTCAGTGCTACAGTATGTGCTCAAATAGGTAAGGTCCTGGATCCAATCCCCAGCACTGCGACCTTCCCCCCCAAAATGTATAAGACAGAGAGTTACCCAACCCCATTGTACAGGCCAGCGATGCCTGAGGGCTTGTGTCTAGCCATTGGCAGAACTGTAGCAGCTGCAGACCAGGGTGTGGGCACTGCCCAGCTTACCTCCTAAGTCTGCAGTGTGAGACTGCATGTTATCATCTGCCTGCCCTATGCCATTCATTTATAATCCTAGATCAGTATTTGGACTTTTTTTTTTCTGGTCATGGAGCTTGAACTCTATCCCTAAGCCTCGTTGTGCTTAAGGCTAGCGCTCTACCACTTGAGCCACAGCACCACTTCTGGGTTTTTCTGTGTAGTTTATTGGAGATAAGAGTCTCATGGACTTTTCTGACCGGGCTGACTTCGAACTGCGATCATCAGATCTCAGCCTCCTGAGTAGCTAGGATTACAGGTGTGAGCTTGGACATTTTTTACTTTTGCTCACAGACATGGATGATGCAGATGTTGAAATTCCTCAAGGTCTAAATTCCTAGCTCAGGTTAACTGGGCCCCGCCCTGCCTGCATGCTCAGCTCCTGCCTGTGCACAAGAGTTACTTTCCTGCTCAATTTAGTGCTATCTATATCACTTTTTTGTGCTTTTTTTTCCCCTGGTGGCTCACGCCTGTAATCCTAGCTACTCAGGAGGCTGAGAGCTTGAGGATCATGGTTCAAAGCCAGCCTGGGGAGAAAAGTCCATGAGACTTTTTTTTTTTTTTGGACCTGAACTCTGGGCCTGGGCCCTGTCCCTCAGCTCTTCAGCTCAAGGTGAGCACTCTACCGCTTGAGCCACAGCGCCACTTCTGGCTTTTTCTGTTTATGTGGTGCTGAGGAATTGAACCCAGGGCCTCAGGCATGCAAGGCAAGCACTCTACCACTGAGCCACCTTCCCAGCCCTCCATGAGACTCTTATCTCTAATAAGCTCAGTGATGGTCCCCAGGCTCTGAGTTCAAGCCCTACAACCAACCAAAAACAAACCAAAAAAACTGTCTTTTGGGCTGGGAAGGTGGCCCCGTGGTAGAACGCTTGCCTTGTTGCATGCATGAGGCTGTGGGTTCGATTCCTCAGCACCACATAAGAAAAAAAGAAAAAAACCAAATGTGGCGCTGTGGCTCAAGTGGTAGAGCGCTAGCCTTGAGCTGAAGGACAGCGCCCAGGCCCAGAATTCAGGCCCCACGACCAGACCAAAACAAAAAACAAAAAAAAACTGTCTTGTGTCCCTAAGCAGAAAGGCTGAGCTAGAAATTATAGCATAAGATGTTTCCTCCAGGCATGAACTGCAGGGCCACTGGCCCCTGTTCAGAGTGGGGTCAGTAAGGAGTCTCTGTGAAGCAAGCTGTTGCCATAGGAACCAGGGTGATGGATTAGTTGTCTGAGGCAGGCCTGCAGGAACCTATGCCTGTTTCCTCCATATTTGCTATATTGAGTGTTCCTGGTGAGTGGAATGCAGCAGAGATGATGGCTCCCTGAGCCAGGCCTGGGCTTGCTTAGGGGCAGGCAGAGAACAGGACAGGTACTTGGTGTACCGCTGGGGGTGGGACCTTGAGCCAGTAAAAAAAAAAAAAAAAAACCACCTAGCTGACACTAGCCCTGATACCTTCAGGGCCTGGGGCACTGGGGAGGCGACCCAGAGGTGATGTGGGTGGGAGCTGAAGCTTGAGTGGGCTGCGGTAATGCTGGGAATGCAGAGCTACATTCTGGGGCCATTGCCCTGATCAGCCCTGCACACCTCTGTTCCCCAGCATCCGGGGCACCAGCTACAAGAGCCCCCACGGCATTCCCATTGACCTTCTGGACCGGCTACTCATCGTCTCTACATCTCCCTACAGCGAGAAGGACACAAAGCAGATCCTCCGCATCCGGTGCGGGCAGGCTGAGGCTGTATGCCGAGGGGGGCTGGGGTCCCCCCAACTGACAAGTGGGGTCAGGGGTGACCTACCCCACCAGGAGCAGGGAAGGTTGGAACCACTGACCCCAGTGAGCCCAGAACCTCAGATGGTGAGGAGAGGGGGACATCAGTAGGCCCAGGTCTGGGGATCTGCCCTGGCCTGTGCCCCAGTGGCTCCTCTAGCCTCAGCATCCTGTGGTTATGAAAGGCAGGTGGTCTCCCACACCAGGGGTGGGGTGGGGGACAGGGAGGGCCTGCAGCTACAGCTGCTGTGGTCAGAGGTGCTTTGGCTGAGCGCCCCCCTTCACCGCCCACAGGTGTGAAGAGGAAGATGTAGAGATGAGCGAGGACGCCTACACAGTGCTGACCCGCATCGGGCTGGAGACATCCCTGCGCTATGCCATCCAGCTGATCACAGCTGCCAGCCTGGTGTGCCGGAAACGCAAGGTCAGCCCACCAAGCCAGCCCGAGGGGGAGGGGGGGAGGAGTGGGGTGGCACGAGGCGGGCAGCTTGAGGGTAAAGGGGCCTCAAGGTCTGCGTGGGGTGCTCCTCATTCCTTATATAGGTGAGGAAACACCGAGGTGAGATAGGAACCTAGATGTGGCCACAGTCGCCTCCCCCACCTGGGGTGGGAGGTGGCAGGAGCTGGGGTCTGCACCTGGGGTTCGCTCTGAGGACTCGCCTGTCCCCCCACCAGGGCACCGAGGTGCAGGTGGATGACATCAAGCGGGTCTACTCACTCTTTCTGGATGAATCCCGCTCCACACAGTACATGAAGGAGTACCAGGATGCCTTCCTCTTCAACGAGCTCAGTGAGTGCCCCCCCTCCATGTCGAAGTGCTTGGCCCCACCCTCTGGACCAGCCTTACCCAATGACCTCCCTTCTCTCCACAGAGGGTGAAACCATGGATACCTCCTGAGCTGGACACCACGCCACCTCCACCCTACCCTGTTTTCTATGAGTTCTAACACTGTGACTTTGTATAAAATGGTTTTGAAACTGGACCCCTGGTATGGAAGCGTCTCACTTAACCCAAGGATGGCCATTGAAACTGAACCTCTAGTGTATGTGGGGAGGGGGGAGTCCCCTGGATCCCCTGGTGTGGGCATAGTTGTCCCTACACTCCTGGTATGTGTAGGGGGTCCCTGCAAAACTAGTATGTGGGGGGATGTCCTTTGAAGCCTGGTGGAAGTATCCCTAGACCCCTGGTGCATGTGTGTGTGTGTGTATAGTGTCCCTGGATTCCTGGTGTGGGTGGTATTCCTGGACTTAGGGTGTATGTGGGGTGTCTGTGGACCCCTCGTGCATGGGGGTGTCCCTGGACCCAAAGGACAGCCAGAGCAGATGGAGAAGCCTTTATTCGGAGAGGAGGGTTGAGGCACCTGTAGGTGCTCATGAGGGGTGTCAGAGGAAGAGGAGGCTTGGGAGCTGGGGAAGGTCACAGGTCAGGGGTTGGGTCCTGGGGCCCCCACAGTCAGAGCTGCTGAGGCGGCAGGGCCCGCAGTGGCAGCTCAGAGCCACAGGGAAGTGGACCATGGGGTCCACTCCAGGCGGGCAGCCAGGAAGCCGGATGGAGGCAAAGCGCAGCTCTCGGTAGGTACACACAGGCTGAGGCACAGGGGGCAGGGCTGCGGGTAGCACTCGCACCTGGAAGAAGAGGCAGGGGAATGGTGGGCCTTACTGGGGATCCAGTCTCCCACCATCCCAGGAACCAGCCTCCTCATGTCCATAGAACTCTGGACAGCTTCCAGCCCACACAGCCAGCAATCGCCCTAGGCCCCTGCCCAGAGTGCCAAGGCCCCCTCCACCCCACCACCACCCCTGCCTGTGCCAATCTGGTGCTGAAGTGACTGGCAGCTCACCATGCTGGGGCAGTAGCCGGCGCAGATGCTGGTGGTGAAGGTGATGCAGACAGGGCAGGCATCGTTCTCGGCAGCCAGGGTGGCGTTGATGGGCCGGCACAATGGCCGCAGTGGCCCCCTAGAGGCCCTCGCCCCACTTACACTCAGCAGCAGACACAGCAGCAGTCCCTGGGGCAGAGCCAGTGGCTCAGCTCCAGCCTGCAGCCTCCGCCTGAGCCCAAGCACACCCACCAACCCGGCCTTCAGTGGGGAGGGGGCCCCTCACAGCTGGTGTGAAGATACCCACCCTCGGCTCTGGCCACCTGCTGCCCTCCTGCAGGAAGCCTGGGCTGTTACACCATGCCAGAAAGGTCTCTACATGCAAGCCCCCATGCTGTCCCTCTGGAGCTAGTCATGGCCTTGGTGTACGTGGACAGGGGCCCTACAGTCTTACCTGGAGCATCTTCGTTCTCGATGCTAGCCCTGCCCTATCTACCTGACTTTATACCTGTGGGCTGTGGGGGCGGCAAGGCCACCCTGCAGCCGCAGCAAGCTGGGGTAACCTGGACACTAATCCCCCTGGGGGCGAAGAGTCGGGCAAGGTCAGGGAGGCGCCTGCAAGCAGGGTGGGGGAGGGGGAGGCCCCGCCCCCTCTCAGCAGCGCCTTGACACCGCAGTGGGGTGACCTCCCAGACAGCTCAGATGCCAGACTGGTAGAGCACAGGAGTGGGGTGCTGGGTCCCATGTTGGGCCCTGGCCTGTCCAAGAGTGTCTCCAAACTCTGGTGCTGGATGAGCGGGCCGGTGGGCACGCAGATGCCCCCCCCAACCAGAGACCCAACCGAAACGTCCTCTGCCCCAGCCCTCCCAGGTCAGGATGCTCGGAGCTGGCCCCAGAAATGGGCATCTTTTAAGCAATTTTAAACGGAGGTTGATGAGGGCAAACCCGGACCCCTCCCCTGCAGGAGGCGTGTCCCGCCAGCGGGCTGCGGGTTCTGGGTTCCAGTGGCTTCAAGGATCCTAGATTCGGTTTCCCTTTAGCTGGGCCAGGAGCCAGCCATAGACGCGGTGGGCGTGTCGTAGTGGCTGTTCCGCCCCGAGGTGGGCGTGGTCATGGGCTTCCCGGGGGCGGGGCTGCCGGCAGGTTCAGACTAGCTCCGCCCTCCAGCTCCCATAGCGGGAGCTCTCGGTGCGGTAAGCTTTTGGCACGCTGTAGATGCTGGGCAGTGGCTTCCGGTGCAGGGTCCAGGGCGTCTCCACGGGGCAGAAGCGGTCAGATGAGACGAGTGGGTGCAGCGGGGGCTTGTAGGACTCCTGACTCAGTGACCTGAGCTCCCGGTAGGGCACTGAAGACGGCAGCGGGACTGTACAGTCTACATGGACCCCCGATGGTTCGGGCAAGCTCTCCTGGCTTTGGCTCCAGCCCAGAATCTTCTGTGAGTTGGTCAGCAGATTTTTAATGGCATATTTGGACCGCTCCTTCCTGTGAGGGAGAGGAAGGAGGGAGAGAGGGAGGAGGAGGCTAAGGTTTGGACCAGTGATCGTAAGAGACTGCACTGCCCAATGTCTGTATTTTGAGGCCAGGACACATTTATAGAGACCCGGGACCCCTGAGGAAGGAGAGATGAAGCATGGCTATCTGGGTCCTCAACTACTTCCAGGTAACAAGTCTAACGTGAAACTACAGCTTTGTACCTTTGGGAAGAAGTAACTTGGGGGTTACACAGAAAGAGGTTCTATCCTAAACTCCCAGGGCAGTGCCCTCAAATCCAGACTACTTTCTTGGGCTCTACAGACTCGGCATCCTTTCCACAGACCTGAGAGTTGATATTAAGGACATATAGGTGCTGAAAGAGGTAGGGGTTGGGTTTTTTCTTGTTGTTGTTGTTGTTTTGGGGTCTGGTCGTGGGGCCTGAACTCTGGCCTGGGCACTGTCCCTCAGCTCTTCAGCTCAAGGCTAGCGCTCTACCACTTGAGCTACAGCGCCACTTCCGGTTTTTTTCTTATGTGGTGCTAAAGAATCGAACCCAGGGCCTCAAGCATGCAAGGCAAGTGCTCTACCACTGAGCCACCTTCCCAGCCCAGGGGTTGGGTTTTAAACTTTGGTTCTTTTTGTTTGGAAGTACCAGGGTTTGAATTGAGGGTCTTGAGCTTGCTACGTAAGTGTTCTACCATTGGTTCTTGTGTGAGCAAGAGTTGATAGAACTGAATGAGAAAAGCAGGCTGGGCTTCTAGCTGCAGGGCCCAGCACAGAGCGGGGACAATGTCTCACTTTGAATAGTAGCGGAAATCCTTGGCAGAAGTAGTCAGATACATCTGACGGCGGTCCAAGATGCCAGGTTCCAATACTATTAAAGGCAGGCCAGTCAGCTCCATCTTCTTCGTCCAGGGAGGTTGGGGCTGATGGAGATTGGGAGAGGATATGTGGAGCAAGAAAGAAGTTGCATAACCAGGGTTTGAGCTCTGGGTCTCAGGTTCAGAATCCCTCATTTTTGGGCTTCAAGAAGACCAAGTCAGGCTGGGCACCAGTGGCTCATGCCTGTACTACTAGCTACTCAGGAGGCTGAGATCTGGGATTGCAGTTCAAAGCCAGCTGGGCAAGGAAAGTCCATGAGACTCATCTCCAATAAGCCACCAGAAAACAGGAAGTGACTGTGGTTCAATTGGGAGAGCGCTCGCCTTGGGCTGAAGAGCTCAGGGACAGTGCCCAGATGCAGAGTTCAAAAAGACCAAGACATCCCACTCCTCCCCCCCAAAATCATTCCTGTCCCACCAATCCCACACCAGGCTATTTGTACTTCACTCCTTAAAGGAGAACTATTACCATCAATGCCCCCCACCCCACCCCAATCCATATACTTCCTGCTGGGCTGGGAAGGTGACCTAGTGGTAGAGTACTTGCCTAGCATGCATGAAGCCCTGGGTTCGATTCCTCAGTACCAAATAAACACAAAAAGCCAGATGTGGCGCTGTGACTCAAGTGGTAGAGTGCTAGCCTTGAACCAAAGAAGCCCAGAGACAGTGCCCAGATCCTGAGTTCAAGCCCTGGGATTGGCAAAAACAAAAACAAAACAAAAAACACTTCCTGGGGCTGGGAAGGTGGCTCAGTGGTAGAGCGCTTGCCTTGCATGCTCAAGGCCCTGGGTTCGATTCCTCAGCACCACATAAGCAAAAAGAAAAAAGCCGGAAGTGGCGCTGTGGCTCAAGTGGTA